TTCATCCCTTGCTTCCATTGTGAGAAGTTCTTTGTTACAAGCATTTCGTGTAGAGTATTACATTTGATCATGCAAGTGCCAAAAGTTATCCTACTGTGAATATAGAGTGAGGGGGCATGCGAGTAAAACTAAAGTATTACCTTATGTGAATAAATATCAGCAAAAGCATGAAAAGGTCATAAAACGTGATAAAATCACCATGGGAGTATTTTCTAGTCCTGAAGGGAAAAATTCTATATAATGCAAAATTCCCATCCTCCACAAAACTCGATCCCTAGTCTCTCACACATGAAGCGTCACAATTACCACCACACCAAGCCGCCGTTGAGAAGAAAGGCGCATCCATGTAATTTAAGTTTTCTTATGTGCAGCTCCCTGAAACCATCCTCATAACTCCGTTCACAGAAACGCTCGGCAAATTTGGAAAGCGGATTCGAACTCAGCATCCAAAAACACGTCCAGCAGTGTAGGTCTCATTTCAAATGGCCACTTCGACTTGGGATCCTTCCCTGGTTAGCCAGAAACAGGTTCATACTCCATAAATATGACTTAAGATATAAACCACTTATTAAAATATTAGACACATACTATGATAATATTAGTTATGCAACTACTTGAATCCTAGTCAGGTTAAGTTAATACCACAATAAGTTAAAATACATCAAAGACACAAAATGCAGTCCAGTTTTTCTCGGGTTACAATCTACTTTATAGTCCTTGTGCATTCTTTAAACTTTGACTTATTATATGACGAGTTTCATTCTTTCGTTCTCCCTTACCCTACTGATGAGCACGAAGGGAGACTATTTGGTATTGGTCTAGTTTGACTTCGAAACGGAAATTGAACTACTTCTTTGATTTATCTTCCCTTAATTCAACAAACTTGTTTAAATGTCAACATTTTTATTGAACCTTCCTCAGAGCGGAACGGTAATGGTGTTTTTTCTAACATTGTGACACAGTGAGAAGTGCAAATCGGACTGATCATTGAGCTACAAGACAAGAGTTTTTTTCCGATTCTATTCTCGTTCCATTTCCTTACTATTTCAACGATTGTCGTACGAGCTGAATCGCTTTTGCTTAGAACGAATAGGTCTCTACAGCTTCTATATTGAATCATATGGCATCATGTTTAGAGGGTTTGATCGTATATCAGGAAGGCAACACGAAAAAGTATGTTTTGCTTTGGAAACGTTACGGTTACAGTTAAATAACAGACTTGCGAAAAGGGACAATTCAAAGGATAAAGTTTCCGCGTGGTCACCAATCCTGACTGAGGGATTTGTGACCACCACAAGAATTCAGCCTTTCCCGCATTCTACTTCGATTCAAAATCGTAGTGCCGTATTGAGCGCGCATGTGGCCCATACAATGAATTGCGGTGACCAGCCGATAAACAAGTCAGTTCTTTTATCCTCACAAACGTGTTATTACCAATGAAACGACCAAGGAGGGATGGAAGGCTTGGACGGCTTAGCGGGTGTCGGTCCGGGATTCGTGCCCCGGCCCATGCGCGTGTGATCTGCGCCACCTGCCACTACACCACCTACGCTTGGGGACAATTCGACTCGACAAATATTAACCAAACCAACACCTAACCAAGGTCTATTTTTCATCACAAGAAAGGTTCGTGCTGGCTTCTTTATTACTTGTACCTATTACCTGTATATTTGTTCAGCGCTGGGAGCGGTCCAATCCGCTCACGCTCATATCTCTCTCACTTCACGATAAATACATTGAACGACCGTTCATTTCTTGCTATCGAAAGGGTCACCACCCAAGTCTTCGAGCACCATTCTGGTTATCTGATGCATCGGCCTTAAAGCCAACTTTATCGCTTCAGAAGTAACATCTTTAAGGCCTGGAACAAAGGTGGCTCTTTTCACGAGAACTTAAGGCCTAACAGCTAACTTTCCCGCGTCAATGAGTAACATCTCAAAGGCCTGAAAAAGTTCTTTTCACGAGCGCATTCTTACAGTCTTTTCCAACTCTGCGAATCTTACCTGATTCATCCCATCTCATGGAAACTTTCTCCCGTACTACATACGTACCTGGAGAACTCTTCTATTGTATCAAACATAAAATTTGCTAAATTTATTACGGGAGTCTCGTACAAATGTCTGTACATCTCCACATTTTCTTACCATAAAAGGTGCAAAAACGCTCGTAAATCTGGTCTCCAGATACACCGTGTACACAAGAAACGTAGAATATGCTACAGTAGATGAGGATAGCCACGCAATGTGCGAGGAAACTATATCACAACAACAAATGGTATTAACCAAATTGAAGAGGGGAGATAGAACCTCATAAAATGCTGTGATGAAATAAGGGAAGGGTATAGAAATTGCAAAAACAAGTCCGACAAAAAGGAGCTGGAGATTGAACAAATTGAAAGCGAGTCTCAATCGCACAAAGAGCTGGCTAGTGCAGACGAGCTTATCTTCATGCTAACTGCACGACATGATGAATCTAAGTGGGAAAATCTAAGGAATAAAATGAGTGTCAAACTTGGCTTCATTTACCAAAAAACCTAGCTGCTTCAGGACGTCACAATTGAAAATCCAGAAGAGCGAATTGATCAGGAACAGGATTTGATCAAGTCCAACTATTATCAATCAGATGGTGTCCGCCGGTTACGACGTACGAAAAACTTGCGATCCAATGTGGTGGAATCCAAAGCAAATTTCCTCATGACATGGTCAAATATGCTATCAAACCTTGCGCAGGGCAGGCAAACAATCATCTGGGTCAACTGAAGAAAGAGAATGACGTCAAGGGTTATGTCGAGAGTAGACCCAGCCATAAGCACATCACGAATGACACCACTTCAAAAGATAAGTACGTCAACCCATGTACCCACTCCCATGACCGATGTCTATTCTACCAAAAGGATAATCATGCCTCACTACCTTGCACAACGGTAATTGATTAATGGAACCGCAGAAAAATACTAACGTCGCAGAAGCTGGAAGTGTTGCTCTTCCAATCACAGCAGCTTTGACTGCCAGAAGTGATGACTGTCCCAAACGCGGACAAAAGCATTATGTGAATCTATGTTTGAAAAAAGAAGGCGTAGAAAATAGAAATCAAGCGATTCGAAACAATAACTCAGGTAGTACTGCCGGTAAGAACAATTCAGGATAAGGCAACTTCCATCATGAGCAAGAAAACTTCACTAGTCAAGGTAAACTGGGAAGAATGAACACAAATGACATTTAAATGTGCGCTAAAATTACTTTAGCAGGCACACAAAAGAATCCAGATTCCTCGCAACTCGTTCTAATGACTGTAGAGGGCAAAGTTTGATACCAAAAAAGAGAGGAATACGAGAAAGCCCTTTCTTCGACACTGGCGCACAGAAGACGGTTATTGAGGAATCGCTCGCTGATGGCCTATGCAGAACACCAATGCAGAACACTAAGATCTTCAAAATGTCAGGGGTTGGAGGCCACATAGAGCGCTTCAAAAGCCTTAGTGTAAGTATTAAACTAAGCACAGCGTACAGTGAGGAACTCAACTTGAATGTGCAAATGTGCAAACGAAACCGTGATCGCCACCAGTTCCCCAGCGTAAACCTCAGCTACATCAGCTATATATATCAGGCTATACGATCGCCTATGTACAATCTCGAACTGTGTGGTCTGTCCAGCTGGAAGGGAAGGTGATTGTAACATGACTGGGGTGGTCTACAAAATTACTTGCCGTGATTGTGGTGATGAGTATATTGGCGAGACGGCAAGACCACTCAACGTGAGGGCTAAGGAGCACATGGATGGTATGAGACGATTGAAAGAGTCTACTGCCTTAGGGAGTCACCGAATGCGAAAGCACAACGGAGGCGGTTTCGAAGTTACCGTGGAGGTCGTAGCACAGGAGTCGGAATTGTGGGCGCGCAAAACCCTCGAGGCATTTTGGATACAAGTCACTGATCCAAAAATGAATCGTAGGGAAGAATGTCTCGCAATTACGCGGGAGCTGCGGCCTTATATAAGATTGGCCTTCCCGCAGTGACTTTCAATTTGGATTTACCCCAGCTGACACTGGTCGGTTGGTACGATCACTTGCTGGGTGGTTTCGAAGATTCCACGAAGCTACGGTGAGTGCCTCTCCTTTCGATCACTTGAGTGCCCTGGGGGTCTCGAACTTCGGTGAGTTGGTGGAGACGTTTGGTCGGGTAGTCACATATTGTTATGATCCTTTCAGGCTCTGAAGAAGGCGATATCGCCGAAACGTTAGCCTAATAAAGCTTGTTTGCAAACCTCGTGAAGAGTTCAGAAAAGAATAAACTCAACAATACACTTATGCCGAGGTTCATAGAAAGCCGTACTTGGAAGTTAATTCGCAACGTACCAACTCAGTATGAGCGGCTCGTGAAAGAAGTCCTATCGCTGAGACAGAAAATTGTCGTGGCGCGACAAGGAATCACTTTTCTCCGCCGCTGTTTGGATCACCGCGTGGTTCCGAAGTTCATCTCGAAGAAGAAGTTGGGTGATCTCTTCAGCGGCCCACGGTGCGACTCCAGAGTGTTGGATATTGAAATGAAACTTCTTCGAATGGCAATTCGAGCGAAGCGTGATAACATGTTTGCTTTGTTAAACAAATGTGTTTCAAAGGAACATTGTTGTGCCCAATTTTTGGAGAAGCACCTTTGGAAGAGAATAGTGAGTGGGTCTATTTCAATTTGTGATTCTATCCGATCTAAGGTCAAAGCTACCTTACAAAAGAAGTTCGATGACCTTTGCAGTTCAACAGGTGATTTGAAAGGGGGGTCATCGCGCATTGTGGCCAAGCGGATATCGGGGAACCATGAAGCCGACGCGACTAGTCAGCGGAGTTTACCTAAGCGCGAGTCACCGTGTTAGGAGGCTTTCCTCTGTCTGACTGCGCTCGTTCGATCTTGGAAATGGGCCCAAGTTTTTCACCTTCACAGTCCATTTCCACGGTTGTCATGCGGAAAGTAATGTGCAGTCTACACGAGCTTCAAGATCGACTCCGTTATAGAGCTAGATGTGACGGCGGCGGCTCCTTGGTGGCAGAGCAAGTAAGAACTGTGCTCAACATTCCCTTTCCAGCCACGTATTTCAAACAACAGGAACCACATATTGAAACTGATGCCAATTTCCGGATTTTCGCCGACGGTGTTTTCAAGGTGCTGAGTGGATTCAGTAAGCAACACACTCCATCTAACGTTTCACGGGAGCAAGCACGTGGTATTAAGGAACTCCGAGATTTAATAAAGTCTCGAACTATAAGGTTGTCTGTCAGTGACAAAGGAGGAGAGTTTGTAGTGATTCCCAGACGACTTGATTGTGAAATCACAGAACTTCATCTGGGAGACACTTCTCTCTACCGCCCATCTTCTTCAGAGGAATTCCAAACGCAGTTTCGTAGACTTAACCGGATGTGGGTTTCCGTAGCACGGTCAGCAGGATTGGGTTCAACCTTGATAACACGGCTCAAACTTGAGTCGCCTTGTTGCCCAGTCCTGTATCTGCTCATAAAAACACACAAGTTTTTGGATGCAGATGACTTAGCTTCAATCAAGCCAACATCCGTGAAAGTGCGTCCTATCATAAGCTGCGTAGGCGGTCCCACTGACCGGATTGCTTGGTTCCTTAATACCATTTTAGTGCAGCTCCTCAAGTTCATACCTTCCCACCTCACAAACACCCAAATGTTTTTGGATCGCCTTGGCGCACTACACCTCAAGGGTTCGTGCGTTATGGAATCCTTCGATGTAGAAGCTCTCTACACAAATGTCAGCAATGGGTCTGCTATGAAAGCCGTATTTGAGCTTCTTAGTCAGCACCAGAACGAAATTGGTATGCGAGGGCTGTCTATATCCCAGCTGATGACACTTGTGAAGGAGTGCCTCAGTTGTAACATTTTCAAGTGGTCGGTAAGGTATTTAGCACAGACTAGAGGCTTGGCTATGGGGCAGCGATTGGCGCCTGTGTTGGCCATATCATTTATGGCTAAGATTGAAGCGCCTGTACTGGAATATATGCCCTTACTTTACTGCAGGTATATCGATGATTGCTTCATAGTCTGTGCGACACAGGAAGAAGTGGATGTGTGTTTCGGCCTACTAAATTCACAATCAGAGCACATTAAGTTGACACGGGAGAAACCGACCGAAAACTGGCTTCCGTTCTTGAACGTTCAAGTGAGGTTACATGGCGATATGATTGTTACGAAGTGGTATAGAAAGCCGAGCAATAAGAATATNATTGTCCATTATCACTCAGCTCATCCTTTTTATGTAAAACGAGCGGTTGTTAGGAATATGTTCCGCACTGCTAAGAAAGTCTGCAGTGGAGAGGATGAGCAAAAAGAGTCGCTCAAAATGGCACGCGATATAGCTTGGTCGAATGGCTACTATAATTTCCCAAATTCACGTAGAACTTCTTCTGGCGGTGTGATCCTCAGACATGGTAGTACCTCGATCGAAGGAAAAATTCCTTTTGTACTACCATTTATTTCTGATGAGGTCAGTGCCTCCATTAGAAAGTGTCTAAAAAGATCGGGTTTGGAAAATTTAGTTGCCATTGCAAATGTACCACCCTTCAATCTGAAGAAGCGCCTGGTTCGAAACAGGCTATACGATCGCCTATGTACAATCTCGAACTGTGTGGTCTGTCCAGCTGGAAGGGAAGGTGATTGTAACATGACTGGGGTGGTCTACAAAATTACTTGCCGTGATTGTGGTGATGAGTATATTGGCGAGACGGCAAGACCACTCAACGTGAGGGTTAAGGTGCACATGGATGGTATGAGACGATTGAAAGAGTCTACTGCCTTAGGGAGTCACCGAATGCGAAAGCACAATGGAGGCGGTTTCGAAGTTACCGTGGAGGTCGTAGCACAGGAGTCGGAATTGTGCGCGCGCAAAACCCTCGAGGCATTTTGGATACAAGTCACTGATCCAAAAATGAATCGTAGGGAAGAATGTCTCGCAATTACGCGGGAGCTGCGGCCTTATATAAGATTGGCCTTCCCGCAGTGACTTTCAATTTGGATTTATTCAATTTGGAGTTGGTGGAAACGTTTGGTCGGATAGTCACAAATTGTTATGATCCTTTCAGGCTCTGAAGAAGGCGATATCGCCGAAACGTCAGCCTAATAAAGCTTGTTTACAAACCTCGTGAAGAGTTCAGAAAAACAAACTCAGCAATACAGTAAACCTCAGCGCTGAAAATGTTTCATCTTCAGAGAGGAGTAGTATTTGTTTGGCTAATTCTAAACTTCTGTGGTTGGACCACTACCACGATCAACAGGTTCAATAAATCCCTTGCAAACTCCCACTGGCTACACATAGCAAATATTGCTTTGAGCGCACCTTATACGGAAAAGCGCCGTAGAGAAAATCGATGCCACCATATGTTATTTAATGACCTCTACACACGAAAGCACGGAGCAAGAAAGGCTGAACAGGGTTTCCAGATTTGACAGGAGAAGTGATTGGCTCGAGGATTGTCAGAAAAACAAAGAAGAATCAGTTTGTCCAGCTCAGAACTCGGAAAGCGTTTCGTTTTGCGGAGTTCATCAATGAGACACTTTATTCAAGAAACAACGTCCCTGAATTTTATGCAACAAAAAATAACAGTGAGAATACTGTCAGCATTGGAACACCTTTACAGTTCGATTACGTCGAAAAAATCCTGCCATAGATTGAAGTAGAAGCTAGGAGAGCAAGAAATGATTGGTATGGTATAAGGTGTTCCAAGTGGTGAGCAAAGAGTTAGGGCATAGGGCTCGTGACTGCTGCAGCAATTCCACACCAGGTGAACAAATGACCCAAGTGCAGAACTGCTCAAGATGACCCCAATGACTTTCACGGAATGCATGTTGGAATTGTCATCGATGCCGTAGCAAGGGAAATTTTATTGGCAACAGAGTTGAGGGTTATAAATTCTCTGGAAAGAATAGTGTTAACTGAAATTTATAACAAAAGGGCTCCAACGCAGACTTTTCTTTTTTAAGGGAAATGCCATGAACCGTCGTTCATTATGTCACTTAAGCCTCGCCCTCGGCGGGTAATAAGAACGCGGAGGCGACGTCGAGTTCGCCTTCGATTGAAGCTGCGCTTCCGGTTGAAGGCGTAGGCCTCCTCACACTAGCGCAGCGGCAGCGATTACTCTCCAGTTACCCATCTAGACCGTTACGTCGGAAATTCTTGCCGGGCGGCTAAAAAGCCCGAGTCCTTTGTTTGCGTTACGAAGAAGAGTTCAGGCAAAAATTACGGCTGTCGAACTCGCTTGGGACACGGCCATCTCGAGATTCAAGGAATCCAAGGTCTTTGGACGACAAACTTAGGTTCAAACCTTCAATCCATATTCCCAGCTCTAAACCATGCTGTTATGTAATGTAGTTGTGATTTTAGCTTACTTGTACGATTGATGAATTCAATAAACCACCCAAGCTTACAGCTGGAAGTGATCCCCAGAACAGGAAAGAGGACCTAGTTTTTCTGGAAATGATACGATCTCACAAAAAGGATATGAGATTCAATAGGTATCTTCTGGGAAAGGAGACGAAGAAAAATTGCGTCATAGTGAAACGGAGGGGAGCCCTTAATCGTTATTGCTATATGAGTCTTCATAACTCTTGGACAGTCAAGGGAGGAGACATCAAATGTCAAAGCACAAGATCGGAAGGAATCATGAGTGCAGAGGAGAGAAGAATTTCTATCGTCTATTCGAATTGAATGCCAAAGGATTAGGAAATTTAGCCGTCGTCAACACAGCCATTGATCTATGCGGTGTTGAAAAAGGACCACAAAGATTGTCGACTGAGAAAGTGCTATGTGCCGAAACATGCTCCCCAAAGGTAGTCCGGTCGATATACTCTGCAACTAGGGCAGACCTATGTCTGAAAGGAGTGAATGAACAAACTGTTCAGCTGCTGAAGGGAAGCAGAATAGAACGGTGTAGCTGCAGGGGATCGTAAAAGGGAAACATCAGGAGTTTGTTGTAGAGACATCGAACTAGCAGACCTTGATAGCTCATGATAACGAACCGAGCACGCAATACTATAATAATTCATCAGAAAAGGGAATCACACATCCAAAGCCTGATTGTGCCTGTGATGGATTTGAGGAGATCTTAAGCAGCTCACAACAAAGACTAGACGTTGAGCAATCAACATCTAAGTAGGCCTCACCGATATTCCTGCCCGAAAAAGTGGTGGGACAATCCGTTTGTGTATGGACTGTCGAAAACTAAACAAACGCATGAAGCATGACGGCTGTTTTTTGCTTGAAGCTGATGCTTTGCTGCAAAACCTGCAAGGTAAACAGTGTTTTTCGACGCTGGACATAGCGTCAGGTCAAAAGAAAATTCTCTATCAGCTGCAGCAAAGGAGAAGAATGCATTCAGTACGTCATATCCAATGCGAAGTTCTCCCATTCGGATGACATTGTTCCCCATCAATCCCCCTTAATGCCACGTCAGAATCTAGACACCGCGAAGTCGCAAAGATGGTTGTGGATGTGTTGCTAAGGGCTAATCGAGTGAAGCCTCGAAAAATGTGAACACTTCCAAGGAAATGGCATTTTTGGGTCACAAGATGGATGAAACAACGTCCAAGTGGCCCTGACAAGGTTATTGAATTAGAAGAGTTTCTGAAGCCTACGATGTAGCGAAACTGCGAACATTTTTAGCCTTCATTAATTAACATTAATCCCCCTGTTAGCGGATATCCGCAGAGCTCATATAAGCTTTGTTGATCCTGCCTCAGGTTCCACCCATCCCGAACTCGTATCGATCTCTAAAGGTGTTTTACAAGTAATATTGAGTTTCGCATACATACATACATACATACCTACCTACCTACCTACCTACATACATACATACATACATATATACATACATACGTACATACATACATATATACATATATACATATATACATGTATACATATATACAGTAGCGCTCGGAAGTATTCGGCAAAATGCTTCTTCAGTTGTACTTTTCAGTCGTAACTTCTTCCCTACTTGATCTACTTGATGTAATAATGCGAAATTTCCATATGTGTAGCATGAGTGTAGTGTGAATATTTACCACTATTAACCAGCAATCTGATCATGTTCCAGATATACTGAAGAGCATGAACTCAAAATCGACTGGAATACGAATGATGGCCCTTCCAGAAATTGTTTCCTTTTTGCCATGTCTAAAGTATACGAGCGCTAATGTAGAACCCAGAACAGAAGAAAAACGTACATAAGGTGCAAATAACTGTAGACGTCACAAATTTGCTTTGAGCATGGCCCATAAACGCCTTTCCATTAGTTATGTGGATATTGCTGCTTTGCAGTCAAGTAGTGTTGGACAGTGTAAAATATGCTTCAGTTAAATATATCAAAACTTCATGTGATTCGCTCCACTGGGAAAAAAGTTACGGCCGAAAAAGCTTGGCCGAATACTTTTGAGCGCTACTGTACATATATACATACATATATACAGACACATATATACATATACACATACTATATACATATATACATATATACAACACAATACAATACAATACAATACAATACAATACAATACAATACACACATGCGTACATACATACATACGCACATACACACTATCCCCATCTATGGCGACGAGCCCACTCTAATATCTCGTCGTCTCACCGTTTAATACGATTACCTAGCCCACGCCTCTAAATAATGCGGGGTCAAGCGGGACTACAAAGAGCGTGGTCCCAACTGCCCCCTTCAACAGCGTCACGGGCAAGACGTAAGCTATCTGTCACATAAGGTATTCATTACCATTATTCTGCGCATTAAAGGCTCAGTTCATGATAATTTTGGGTAATCCAGATTATGGCGAAAAATGGAGATAAGATGGAAAATAGTGCGATGAAGGCGAAGAAACTGCGTAAATCAGTGTTTCCAAAGTGAAAAAAGGCTTCGAAAAATTGTTTAAAAGGGGGCTGGACGAGAATGAGACCAGAAAAATGGAGAAGAAGGGGGCATTTGGACGGGCCATACAATCTGTGTCATTGCGCACGTGTGGGCCCTGGTGCGAGTAGCTGAATACGGTAAGGAAAAATTCATTCATTCATAAGCATGTTAACAAAAAAACCCTAGTAGTAGCAAAAATGGCCCACCTCTCTTAGCCCCTTGTAGTAGATGACTAAATTGGAGATCGCAGCAGCAAAAAGAATAACAGAGTATAAAGGAATAGCAGAAAAACACCGCCTCATTACTCGGCAATCAGCTATTTGTGAGTCCTAGAGCGAATATTTACAATCTGTATCGCCTCGGCACTCGCCTGACGTGACATCGATCAAGGGCCGGGCGATCCGGAAACGGTGCTCCCACAGTGCCCTAGCTGTTGAGTTTTTGGACTCGACAGCGTACTTCCTGCTACCTTTGGGGGCTACTGGGTGCTCCTAAAAGGAGAACCCAGAAACCACTTTGATCGTGAACTGTGCCTTTAGAAGCGGGAACGTCCGCGCTTACTATACTATTGTGTTACACTTACGCCGTTATCGCCGGAGCCTTTATAAAGGACCGGACCACTGAACCACCCGCACATTTTCGTTGCACCTGCCGAAATAAGTAGAGTTATATAGGACACCAACCGTACATTTTGGTAAATCGGCCAAAAAGTTGAAAAAAAAANAAAAAAAAATATTTGTATAGAAGTAGAATTGAACGTGAATCTACAACGTTCAAATTATTAAATAGAATCGAACGAGATTCCATACTTTTCGAACCATCAAGTAAGAATCGGACGTGGTTCTATCAGCAAGTTTCATCGTTGTAAATAAAACGAAGCAGTTAACACAAAAAGCTAATCATTTCTAGGGCAACGACGCTTAAGAATTTCGTAACGCACTATAGGGAATATACGACCAAGGTGGATTTTCTATCGATCGATAAAGACCTACGACTAATGTAGGTCTGCAATAGCGCTACGAGAGTGGCATTAGGCAATTAAGTGTAGGCACGGAAAAACTGCAAAGACTCTATAAAGAGATCAAAGAGG